CCAGTATGAAAAGCTTACGCTGCATAATGATGTCCCCTCAACCAAATTAGAATGTTCCCATGTTCAGTCTCTATTTAGAAAAGAAAATACAACTTTTTTCCATTTCTCTAACTTTATTGTTGTTTTAGGTCACACTCAGAGGCGCTTAGGGTTTACTCCTGGCTTTGCACTCAGGGATCACTCTTGGTCCCCAGGGGACCATATGGGATTCTGGGGATTGAATCCAGGCCAGCTGTATGCAAGGCAAACACCCTGCTTAGTGTATGTAATATTGCTCCAGCCTCTCTAACTTTTTTAACCATGAACAGGAGCTTTCTAAAATTGGCAACATAAGGGTTTGGATTTTATATAACTACGGTCATGGTCACGGTCCTCCCGTTGTTCATCGATTTGCTCGAGCGGGTCCAGTAACATCTCCATTGTGACACTTGTTACTGTGTTTGGCATATTATATACGTCACGGGTAGCTTGCCAGGCTCACTGAAAGCAATTACAATCAAATATATATTCTCAAACTGATCAATGTTGAGGGGGAGTTGTAAGTTATTTCATGTTTTTTTATCTTCACTATGATGTCTGTGAAGAAATATATAACATTGTATATAACCAAAGGGTTAAACAAGGTCACCCAGAGATTGATAATCCATCCTCTGCACGCCAATTAAACTCAAATCCACCTTTTCTAACAATTCATGGAGAACTTTACATTGCTCTATACTCCCCGTGGTGTATTCAATATGCCAAAAACCAGTAACAATGATGGGTCTCATTCTCCTGATCCTGAAAGAGCCTCGAATGTGGCACTTTCTAAAATCTCAGGGCCAGGACGGAGGAGACATTACTGGTCCCTGCTCAAGGAAATCGATGATCAACAGGATGACAGTGATAACAAATCAGCCCTAAAACCCTCAGAAATAAAGGGTACCCAGCAATGTGAGGTTTAGAACCATGAGACATGGGTCACCAAGGTGAAGTTGGCAAGGGGCAGAGAGGGCAGGCCTCAGGGTTGACCATTCTTGAGACCCTCTGGGAAGTCTCATGGTGGGGGGAGGAGGTGACTGTTTCCCAGACAGAGTCCCATTCCTGTGTGCCCCACCATGTTTCCTGTGCTGCTAGCAAGCATCCTCCTCAGAGCAGGAGGAAGAAGCATCTCTGGGGGCAGGGCCATTAGTATCTCCTGAGACCTGGAGTTTTTCCCTTTTGCCTATTTACTACTGACCTTTAGCATCACCTCACTCTTGGCCTTGGGGCTGACTTGTGCATTGCAGGATGGTTAGAATATTCTGCATTCAATAGCACCTCTCCCTGAGCTATAACAGCCAATAGAAATACCTCCAAACACAGACAAATGCCCGCCCCCCACCCCCACCCCAGCCCTGATCCCAGAAGGCAAAATTGTCTCTAGTTGGGAACTTTCAGTGCAAATCGATCAGTCAGGCTGAGTACAGAATACAGCATTGCAGATTTTCAAGTATTGTATGAAGCATGGGAGTATGGTATGAATACTTTTGCAGTACTGTATAAAGGAAACTGGATTTTAAAAAATTGAATTACTGTGTGATACACAGTTACAAAGCTGTTCCTGGTTTCTGTCATACAATGTTCCAACACCCATCCCTGTATCAGGGAACAGGATTTCTTAAAAGGAGATAGGGGAAGAAAATGGGTCATGAGGCAGTAGGAAGCCTGGTAGAAAGGACACTCCTGGGGAGAAATAGCACTTGGCGGGTGTGGGGTCACAATGCAAGGGATACGTGGGGGGGTACCACAGGGTATCTGGGTCTTGTGTTGGCTCTGAGAAGTTAGGTTTCTTCCTCACCTCCTCCCTTCTCCTGTGGGACCACAAACAGACCAACTAGCCTTGTTAGAAGTAGATCTAAAATCTGGGCCCCAAATTTGTTGCTAGTCATGTGAAAAAAAGCATCTTGGATCTGTGGGTAAATAGCCCAGATGGCCTGTGGCTCACCGGTGTGGAACATACATTTCTAGTTCATGGAAGAGGGGAAGTCCCTGTTTTTCGAAGCAAAATATCCCAGACCCAGACTGGGCCCAGACTAGGCCACTCCAAGGAAAGCAAAGGAAGAGCAGCACAGAGATTAAGTCCAGATTCAATCTACTTCGTCTGTGCAGCCTCCACAGCCCACAGGATGGGGCTCAGACTCTTGGGAGAAACTTCAAGTGTCACTCACCAGCTTACACACTGCGAGTGGCAAGGATCTCAGCAGATATGCTCCCTACCTGTCCTCACAAGCCACACTGAAACAATCTCTGAAGTCACTCCAGTGCCTTCTCAATTTCAAGAAAGAGAGACCCCAGCACCCAGTGGTCAAGCAGCTGCTCCCAACTGAAGGGCTCTTCATGGGCCAGCTTTCAAATGGAAGAAGACCTACTCAAGGACATCCCTGATGGGTTTTACCTTTCTTCCATTTTTCAGTTTGAAGGACACATTTATTTTTTTGTTCTTTCAACCCAGGTGTTGCTCAGGGCTTATTCCTGGCTCTTTACTTAGGGGTCACTCCCAGTGGTACTCAGGGTACCCTAGGCTGTGCTAGGAATTGAACCTGGATCAGCAGCATGCAAGGCAGCTGCCTTAACCACTGCTCTATCTCTCTGCCTTCTCTCTTCTAATTTCCCAACTGTGCTAATTTGTTGGGAAGTGCATGACTGTGCTCCCAGCCCTTGCAGGACTCACTGGTGCTAAGGCAACAATGGAGTGTGGACAGAGTAGATGTAGAAGAAGGCATGGTGAATCGGGGGAAAGAAAGATGATCCTTGAGAGAAATCTAAAGGGAATATTTGGGCAGGGAGGGTCCAGGACAGGTTCTGGGGAAGCAGCCTGAGTTCCCTATTAGCAAGAACTCACAGCAATTTGGGGCTTGGAGCAGAAAGTTCAATTTGGGCCACTGGGTCAATTTATGCAGGCATTTGGAACTTCTTGTTATTGATGCTGAGCAGGATAATTTTTACCCAGTTCCTCCAAGACTAGGGGGTTAATATTCACTGTCATTCAACAAGGGCAAAGCACTGGTGGCCAAATCATTTGTGGTTCTTAGGCTGTTAAGGTGACAAGATTTTTCTCTTCCTTCTCTAAGTCCAAGAGAATTCCATGAATTTTGTGTTCAAGGATGGATCATCACATGGGCTTCTGCCTCTTATGCTATTGGCTGAAGCCCAGAATGTGTAACAGCCTAAACTCGTCAGTGCCAAGTTTTTCACAGAATGCTACCAGAACGATCAATGATGGTCAAACCAGCAGGGAACTAGAAGTTCCAGTGGGTCTGGCCTTCCATATACAAATAGTAGAGTAGTTCCATGGAATCCCCTTTCCTGGGGAAGGGTGATTCAGGGCAAGGGACAGGAGGAAACTTTCTTTAAAAAAGAATACACTGGTAAGTATCATATTAAGCGAAATGAGTCAGAAAGAACAGGATAGACACAGAAAGATTGCATTCATCTGGGGAACATAAAGCAACAAAATGGGAGACTGACACCCAGGAATTAGTACCAGGAATTTTGCTCCATGACTTGGAGGCCAGCCACACGTGCTAGGGGGAAAGGAAGCTCAGATAGAGAAGTGAGCACCAAATAAAGGGTGTTGGGAGGATCCTCCCAAGGTGGGAGAAGCATGCTGAAAGTAGACTATAGACCAAACATGATGCCACTCAATGCCTCTCTTGCAAACCACAGGATCCAAAAGGAGAGAGAGAACAAAAGGGAATGCCCTGCAACAGAGGCAGGGTGGGATGGGGGAGATGGGGGGTGGGAGGGATGATGGGACCCGTGGTGGTGGAGGATGGGCACTGGTGGAGGGATGGGTACTTGATCGTTGTATAACTGAAACCCAAGCACAAAAATTTGTAAGTCTATAACTGTACCTCATGGTGTTTCACTAAAAAAAAAAAAAAAAAGAATACAACCTGGGACCAGAGCAATATTATAGCAGGTTGGGTCTTTGCCTTGCACACAGCAGACCCGGCTTCAATCCCTGGCACCCCATATGGTCCCTTGAGCCCACCAGAGGTGATTCCTGAATACAAAGCTGAATACAGTAAAGCTCTGAGCATCTCTGGGCATGGTCCAAAAACAAAACCAAACCAAACAAACCCCCGATTGAAAAAAAATATATACAATACAAACAAACAATCAAAACCCATCAAACTTTGGTCTAGGGAGAAAGCACAGAGTTTAAGGCACTAGTTTTGCACATGGCTAACTCTAGTCGAATACCCAGTATGACACATGGTCCCCTGTTCACCATACATGTGACATCCAAGCAAGAATCAGGAGTAAGCCCTGAGCACAATCGGATGTTACTCTCCCCCCATAACACTCCCCACTCCCAATTACACCTAAAGAGCCTCATTATGGCTTGTACTGTGAGCCTCTCTAGCAAACAAATCAGTTCCCTGCAGCAGAGGAGAGTGGGCTGTGGGAGTCCACTAGCCAATGATCCAGCTCACCCAGACCCTCAAGTTGCTGAGCTCACAGCAACTAAAGGCTGTAGGCATGCCTCACAGGTCTCTCCATCCCATCCTGGTGGTCTCACCAGTGGAATGTTAGTGACAGAACCAGACAGGAGAGAGCTCCTCTGGGAGATTGCATGGGGGATGTTCAGAAGCAAGAAAGACAAAGGCAGTAGGGATATGGCTCAGCGGGAGAGAAGATGCTTCACATGTGCAGGACTCCACGTTTGGAACACCTCCCCTCCAAAAGAAAAAAAAAAGACAGCTAAAGCTGATGGTGTGCCAGCACCTGCTAGGCAGTGGTGTCCTTTCTGGAAGGTGTGCACTGGTGGACTGGGCAATGTTTCAGATTGGGCACTGCGTGGGATTTAAGTTTGTGAGGATTTATGATGGATATTAGCCATCCAAAGAGTTATCAGCCCCTCTGAGTCACAGGAGAGGCTGACGCAGTTCATGGCTCTTGTGGGTTCCCACCATACATTTGGAGCTTGAAGTCCAGGTTCCTGCAGGACCCTAGGGGCCTCGACCCACACTCACCGGCTGCAGCCCGTCCTCCTGCCTCCTGCTCTGGCTCGGGCGGTTGATGAAGGATCGGGTTGAGACTTTGTAGTGATTCAGCAGGCAGACAATGACCACGACCATCACCGTGACCACCACGACGATGATGATGATCTGGGCAAACTCCAGTTCCGCTGCAATGGAAGACGGAAGTCGGTGAGCCACATGTCCCTCTGCACCATCACCCATTTCTCCAGCCACCCATTTACTGAGATGCTCTTCTCATTACCAATCTAGATCCTGAAGGCCTCTTACAGAGCCAGACCTCATAGAGACCTCCTGAGAGAGAAATTACTTCCCTGCATGTATATTGTCTCAAGCTACTACCAGACCTAGGCATTTTTCCTTTATTTTTTTTGGGGGGGGGGTCACACTGGGAGGTGATCAGGCTCTGTGTTCAGGAATCACACCTGGAAGTACTTGAAGAACAGTATGCAGTACTAGGTATCAAACCTGGGTTGACTGCATGCCTTAACCCCAACTACTCCCCAGACTGGCTTCGACATTTTAACACTATTTGAAGAATGGATGTTTGAAGGAAGCGTCCCATGCATGAGGCACTTTCCAGAAAACCTCTGGGCTTTGCCCTCCCCTGGTGCTCAGATCATGCCTCTGCAGTTTGACAACAAGAAGGTTCCATTGGTTCTATGAAGGGGAGGGGCTGTACTGCCACTGATCTTATTTCTCTTGTGCAACTCCAAGTCCAGCTCAGCATGCACACCAGGGGCTGGTGTCTGCTCACTAAACCTTTCCACTGGGCAGTTAGACCATTGAGTCTGGTCATCTTTGGGGTGCTGAACATCTCAATGTTCTCCATCCCCTATACTCCAATCATATTACATCCTCCACATGCTACCTTCAGGGAAATTAAGAAACTCTCTGCTTAATAGACAACTGGGTAAAGAAACTATGGCACATGTACACAATGGAATATTCTGCAATCACCAGGAAAAAATAAAGCCATGAAATTTGCTCATAAATAGATGGACATGGAGAGTATTATGCAGAGTGAAATGAGTCAGAAGAAGGGCAGACATAGAATGACTACACTCATTTGTGGGATACAAAAAACATAGTATGAAACTATTGCCCAAGGACTGGGAGGCCTGGTCCATGATTGGAACCTTAGCACAAGTGGTGGTGGTGGGAGGGCAGTTAGGATAGAGAAGGGACCACTATAACAGTGATAATTGGAAATGATCACTCTGGACAAGAACTGAATGTTGAAAGGAGGTAAAGGGATTACATGATAAACTTTCAGTACCTGCATTGCAAACCACAATGCTCAGAACAAGAGAGAGAGAGAGACAGAGAGACAGAGAGAGAGACAGAGAGAGAGTGAAAGAGAGAGAGAGAGAGAGAGAGAGAGAGAGAGAGAGAGAAAGAGAGAGAGAGGCAAGGGCCTGTATGGGGGAAGGGGGCTGGAGGTAAACTGGGTGGGGACATTGGTGGTGGGAAATGTACACTGGTGAAGGGATGGGTGTTAGAACATTGTATGACTGAAACCTAATCATGAACAACATTGTAACTGTGTATTTCATGATGATTCAATTTAAAAAAGAAAGAAACTCTCTCTGCATTTCCCAGTGTAAATTTCTCTAGGAAGTTAAACCCGTACTTATGGATAAGTTTAGAAAGCACATCTGCACAAGAACCACATAGTACAGCAAAAGGAAAATATGCAGATTAAAAAACATCATCACGCTACACTTCTATCCAGAGGCTTGGTCTCCGGGAAATATTTAGGGAACACATCTCCATTGTTTCCAACTCAGTGCAGGCACCATATTTCAGGAGCAGTAGATCACCACTGGGTTTTTCACACTGTTGCAACGAAGGATTTTCTAAATGCCATTAACACATGCCTTGCACACGATTTCAGAGCCATGGACCTAATTCAGAATCACAGCACACAGAGTTGGCCATTAGAGGTGGGTGACGGAAGTGTTTTGGTTTTGCATAGAGGAAGTAATGAAGACTTCTTGAAAATGTGAGCAATACAGAAGGAAATAGTGTCCAAGGCAAAAATTTCCCTTTTGAGGCTTATGGCACAGCCTGACCCCCTCTCACTTCTAATCTCAGAATGCCTTGGGAAAGAGGGCACCGGTTCGTTCCTCATGGGTATCAGTGCATTTGCCTATTGAATAAGTTTTTTCTTCTTAATGAATGGGTTCTTTGTACAAACACATTGCTCTTTTATTTCATGTAGTACATCAAACATTTTTAAACAAGAATATAGATGTATATACATAAACCATTCTTTATGATAGTTATCTATCCTAGATTATGGCTTTATTGGAATTTACGTCCTCCACATGATAGATATTAGATATTGGTCTTCTTTTCTGAGTTATAATAAAAAGTTTCATATGCATATGTGTATGTGTGTGACTGTACATGTTGACCCACATTCATAAGTGTCCCTATAGGAAAGAGTGCCAAAAATGGAAATTTCTGGGTCAAGGACATACTCGTTTAAATGCTGAAGGCTACTGAGAATATGCGTTAGGAAAAGGCTCTTTCCAAGGAGAGAAAGAAAACCCAATCTAAACCTTAGTTAGCAGACACTCTTCTTTCATCTCTACCAAAATGATGGACACAAATAGGTATTCTGTTTTAATTTTTATTTCCTGAGTACTACTAATTTCAGATATTTTCCTATGATTTGGTAAGTTGATTTTAATTTGCAAATAAAATTTATTCAAACAAGTTTGTTGTTTTCTCATTTACTTGTAAATAGTCTTTATATGAATACAAGTATGTGTCTGTTACATGTACTGCAAATATTTTCTCCCGATATGCTAATTATTTAAACTTTGTTGAGTGTTTCTCCATAGAAGATTAATTTGGTGGGTGGGCAATCTCCCAAGTGCTGTGTGGGGAGGGAGTCTGGGTGTTACTTCCAGTGAGAGTTGGCCAACCACACTGGTGGCTCAATGCAAGGGCCCAAGAATGCAATCCTTCTCTTGCTCTGTGTTTCTGGGGACCACCAAGACCACCCCAGCAGTTCTGGGGGCCTCCAGTGACTCTCAAGAAGCTATGAGGCACCAATGACTGAATCCATGTTAGGAGAATGCTAGGCATGTGAGGAGAATGCTAGGCATGTGTCTTAACTGTTGCACCATCTCCCAGGTCCTAGAAGACATAATATGGGGTAAGAGTCTTAGGCAATACCCGGAAGTGCTCAGGAGTTACTCCTGGTTCCGTACTCAGGGATCACTCCTGGTGATGCTTAGAGGACCATATGCTATGCCAAGGACTACAGTGGGATTGGTCATATTTGAGTCAAGTATCTTAACCCTTGCACTTCTGGCTCCAAGCAGATAAAAATTTTTATGCTACTAAATACTATCTTTCTTTTCTGTTACCTTTCATAATTAGAATTTTTATGCTTAGAGACCTATTACCTATGGATGTCATTCCTTATAGTCTGACTCAGCAAAGAGATCATTTTATATTTTTATATTGTCTTAGAGGCACAAATCTTTTGGTCTAATAACCACATGACAATGTTCATTACAAGCAAGAAGTTCTAGGTTGTGAAATAGTGTAGAATGATTTTTTATTGTTGTTTGGTTTTATTTGTGGGGCCAGGGATTGAGTAGGGCCTCATATATTGCAAGTACATATTCAACCTCTGAGCCATACCTCAACTCCAAGAATATATGGAGGTTGAAGGGGAGGGTGGGGTATGGCCTGTAGCATTGATGCTCAGGGGCTACCTTTAGCTCTGTGCTCAGAGGTTGCTCCTGGCATTGTTTTGGAATCATGTGGTGCTGGGGACAGAAATCAGGATTCCAGCATGTAAAACCTTTGCTCCAATTCATTGAAGTATCTCTGTGGTCCTTAAAATAACTTTGTTCGGGGAGGACACTCCAAGCATTGCTCCAGGGTTACTCCTGGCTCTGCACTCAGGAATCACTTCTGGCAATGCTTGGGAATGATTTTGGATGCTGGAGATTGAACTGGTCAAAAACTTACAAGGAAAGTGCCTTACCTGCTGTACTATCACTCAGTCCCCCTAAAATAATTTTTTAAGAGAAAATTTTCATCATTTTTCTGTTAAAGGAAATCACCTGATTAGAGGCTGTGTTCCAGCAGCTATATGCCAAGAACAAAGGATCCCAGACCTGCCCAGTATCCTTGTGATCACATGTCTAGCTGAGCTCCATGCATCTGGTCTGCTTAGACCAGAAGCTCATAGTGTCTTAGTCTCAGGATAGTCTAGATTCTTAAAAGTTCAGAATCACCCCCACGCACTTCGTGTGAGTAGACATATGTCCTGTGATTTAGCACACTTGAAATCAAAACTGCACATTTTGCAATAGCACAGCGGGTAGGGCGTTCGCCTTACAAGCGGCCAACATGGCCGACCCGAGTTCGATTCCTCCGCCCCTCTCGGAGAGCCCGGCAAGCTACCGAGAGTATTGGATATGCCAGACACAGTAACAACAAAGTCTCCAATGGAGACGTTACTGGGCCCGCTCGAGCAAATCGACGATCAACGGGAGGGCCTTTACCTTTACATTTTAAATAACTAACCATTATATGTGAACATATGTGACACATATGTATAAAATACATCACTGTCACTGTCCTCCTGTTGTTCATCAATTTGCTCAAGTGGGCCCAGTAACGTCTCCATTATGACAATTGTTACTGTGTTTGGCATATCGAATATGTCACGGTACTCTCAGTAGCTTGCTGGGTTCTCTGAGAGGGGTGGGGGAATAGAACTCGGGTCAGCCATGTTGGCTGCTTGCAAGACAAAAGCCCTACCCACTGTGCTACTGCTCCAGCCCAGATCTATAGGTATTTAAAATACAAATCAAAGGGGCTGGGGAGATAGCACCAAACCAAATATTTACTGGTAATAAACTACAGAGAGGGGCTGGAGAGGTAATTCAGGGTTAAGGCACTTGCCCATACCCATTGGACCCTGGTTCAAATCCCAGCCCAAACATGGTCTCCTAAGTCTCACTAAAGTGCACCTCGGCACTTCATACTCTTCACCATTTCTTGGGTGCATCTGGGCCTCATTTCCTAAACTGTGGGTCAGTCCCACACGGGGCTGCATAACTGCACAACTGCGTAAAATTGTTCTACAACTCATTTATGATTTTTCTTTTCTTTT